GAAAAGGGTAACTATTGCATTGTTCTGTACACCTGAAACTAACAATAAAAAAATTAAAAAACAAAAACAAAAGAAAAAACACTGGCGGCAAGGAGTGCTGTGTGTGACACAGTAGTCATTTCAATGTCAGTTGTTGCCTAAGCAGAAATGTGGAAAGGAAAGAGAAAGAGACTGACCCCAATAAATAAAAAATAAATAAAAAAAGGAGGAGGAGGAGGAGGAGGAGGAGAATTGCAGCAAATTTTCAAATGAGCTAGGCCTTAACAATCTTAAAAAAAGAGAAAGTGTTCCATCTGAAATTAAGCTGAACCGGTCACCAGTCACGGGCAGGTAGGATGGAAGGAAAGCTTGTCCCAGGTGACAGAAATTCCCCAGGAGGATGTCTACCTCTGCCACCAGAGGGCGCACCACCACAGCTTTTCAAGGTTGGTGGTGTGGGCTGTCAAGTTTCTCTTTGGGGCGCTGGTAACAACATGGTACAACAATGTGGGGCCATCCCACTGCTTTAGAACCTGACCTGGGCTCTCTGGTGACCGGACTTGGTGATGGATCATGTGTTTACAACTCTTAGGAAGTTTCACTTGGCCACTGAGCTGGGCTTGAAGTGAATTCTAATCTGAAGTTAGAGTATAGGAGTTGAGGAAGGCTATGCTGTAGTTATCCTCACATGCGTAACACAGGGCTGTTCAAGTGCAGAGCGACTGACTATAGCAACTCTTTCTTCTGAATGGTTTGTGTTTTCAAAATGTCTTATTGCTGCAAACATCCTTCTTAGGAAGTGCTGTTGCCATCTTTCTGGTTAACAATGAGGAAACTGAGACACAGGGAAGAAATGGTCTGCACCTTAGATCTGGGGCCAGATTAGAAACAGAAGTCAAGCTTCCTGCTCTAGCCAGCAAAGGGATCCACTTAGGTGGCCTGCCCCTCCTCTGCCATCATACTGAGGCTCCTCAGATACAAGCCTCAGGGCACAGGGCGGCCAGCAGTGAAATACTTGGCAGAATGGCTCCCATAGGAAGGCAGTCCTGGAGCCCTGGACCTACCCTTTTGCTCAATCCCACCAGACTTAATCATGTCAAATCCCTTAAGTCAACTAGTCTTAACTACTTACACATGGACGGATTTTTAAAATTTTTCTTAAATTGAAAAAATAGGACATGCTGGTGTCAGAAAAATAATTCTAAAAATATAAAAGAGTATGAAAAAAGAAAGTCCCTTTTAATTCACTGATCCCCACCCCAAATCCTATAATTCCATTAAGTGGCAGCTTGCTTTTGCCACTTAAGAGGAATATCCCATAGTCTATTAGGATGAGGTGTTGAAATTTAAAAATGATAAAACATTTTCAGGTCTATTTTCTTGATTAAAAAGATGGTATTTCCAAGCCTAATATTTAAATGTTACCAAATATAAGCCTCCAGGGTCCTTTTTGGGTTTTCCTGCCACACTCTGCATTCTGTCTGCCTAAGTTCACATTGACAAAATTAGTGGGGTTTGTGTGTTTTCTTTCTGAATGATTCTGACAGAATGAACAAATTGTTCATATTGCGAATACTTAATTTTTGTTCTCTGAGGATTTATAATTTTAACCTCTCTATTATTTCCATGGCTCTGAATTATTTTTTATAGGAGTATTATTTTTTTTAAAATAGAATTCATGTGTTCTTCATGTATATACCTGTATATCCCTGGAGCTAGATACAGCCACAGGTACAGAGGGTGTTTGCATACTCTCTGTCTTTATTCCTTCCAAACACCCAAAAAAGTCAATTAAAAATACTGACAGAAAAGGGTTAGGTAATATATTTTCCCTTTTTAAATTTGCCCTCCAAGAACCACCAAAAATATATGCAAAACTGTCCCTTTGTCTAGAACAGCAGGTCTCAAACTTGAACACAGAAAAATCCATGGGAGCTTGTGAAGAACAGATTTCCAGGTCTCCTGAATCCTGTTTCTTTAGGATGTGCTTGGTAACGGACATTCCTAACAAGCTCCCTTGCACTTTTGTGCGTCCACCAGTATCTGATTGAAGGGGTGCTCCATGGCTCTGCCACCGATTGGGTGGGAATCTTTCCTGATGGCACCTATTCTATTTCCTTCTCATTCAGAAGAAAAAGAGGATGGAAAGAATGCACAGGAAACGGGTTGTGCTGACTTTTTCCATTAAAAGCTGCCTCCAAATTTTATGCACATCTAAGAAATTCTTCTGTTTGTCTTTAAAAGCTTGACCCCCTAACTCTGCCAGTTGACCCCTTGTCCTGCAGTTATCTTTGGGCCTCTCCTTATGCAGTGTAGCCAGTTTGAGAAGCAGCTGATGACTGTTTCAATTTCAGTTCAAGTTCCTTATAAAACTAGTTAATCTGAGAGGTCATTTGTCTCTGATCCAGAGCAGCGGTTTGGTTATTCTTGGCTTATACTAAAATTGGAAGGGAACTGAAGCATCAGGTAAAAAATAATCTACACTTATGCAGCATAAAACAGAACAAATCGCAGATCTACACACCATTGTGGACAGATCCCACAGAAGCAAGGTTAAGCAAAGGAAGCCTTTGTTTACCTGAAGCTCAAAGACAGGCAACAATGACCTATGGTGAAAGAGGTGGGAAGAGGGGCTATCTTTGGAGGGTTATTTCCTGGTGGGGGTTGGCAGGAAATGTTCTAAGTTGTGATCTGGAACCCATGTAGGACATACACACATATATATAAAGTCATTGTGCTAAATGTTTAAGCTGCATGCACTTTCCTGCATATATATCATACCTCAATACATTTTAAAAAAGATGATGATGATGGGCAGCTGTGAATACGACAATGGTTCACTAGAAAAAAAATTCCACAGTTATATCCATGTAATGAGTCAAAATCACCAAACAAATGCAGAAAGTTGAACAAAAAGAAAATTAACAATTGGAAATGACCATAAAAATAAGCAGTTTCTTTTAATTGCAGTTGTAAACTGAACACTTTAACATGAGCCCCATCTTGCAGATGTGGTGCTCTCAAATGCCTCATGACATAGAGTGTGGGATCAACACATTCATAAGAGTAATTATTTTGTATTCTTCAAAATGCTGACAACTCAGGAAGAGGCTAAAGGAGCAGTTTTACCGGCTTTTTCATAAAAGCAGCAAACAAGAATGGGGAGGGAGGGCCGGCCGAGTGGCGCGTTGGTTGAGAGCTGGCTTGGGACGCGAGAGGACCCCGGTTCAGATCCCACATATGAGGGCCAGTGACACTGCCCTCCACAGCTAAGATGCTGAACAACAGCTCAACTTGGAGCTGGGCTGTCGTGGGTCGCTGGGCTGCAGCCCCTGTGGCAGTGGGTTGCCATGGGCTACCGTATGTAGCCAGCAGCCAGTGTGAGCAGCCAGCAGTCGCAGTGAGTGGCCGGCCAGAAGCCGGAGACTGATCTGCCTCACCTGGGAAGAGAGCAATGATGGTGCCAACTTGGGCCAGTGAAGCAACGTCCTCCACAACTAGACTGAAGAACAAAACGACAGCAACATTTCTGTTCCCCTTCCCCCGATTCCCCACTAAAATCTTTTAAAAAAAAGAAAAGAATGGGGAGGGAAATAAGCTTGTCAGGCCTTCCTGGGTGAAGCTGGGGTTTTGTCCAGATCTGGGTGACTGTGTACGCACAGGGTGACACTGGGGGTGAAGAGCAGCCAGTGAATTTGTTGTTTCCCGAGGCTAGGCAGTGACCAGTGACAGGAGGCCTGCATGTTTAAGTCTTCAGGCACACACGGAGGGGTGCTATATCTGGGGACTATTCCAGGAACAGTCCATGGAAGAGTTCCTCCCTTTTATTCCCCTGTCCTCCAACACTTGGCCTTACTTGTTGTATTTAAAGGCTTTTTTCTCTTATGAATATCTAGTGGTCTTTCCTCTGATTGGGTCACATTTCCCTGCGTTATGGGAGCAGCCATGAAGAGGACGCTGAGCCGTGACCTCACCAAGCAAGTAGCTTCTCTGATTTTTCCTCTCCTCCCTTCTCAATCAGTGGTTAATCTGACACAACTGGCCGTGTTTGGTGTTGTGGAGACACAACCTTGCTTTGTTGTGGAAACTGCTCTATCAAGTCTGGGTGCAGTGTGTGAGGGGAGGCTGGAGACCTGGAAATTATGCAGGAGGGCCAAGGAGATGCTGGTGTCAAGGCACCATAAAGCCCCCCTCACTGGCTGGTTAAGAGCTGGGTTGAGTGTCAGCGAATGTGGTGTTGGGAGGTTTTTAATTCTTTGTTATAAAGGCAGAGTTATGAGAAAGATGAACCACTTCTATGCCTGCACATCAGACCCAAAGTCTTTGCATAGAACTGAAACTGGAATGAATCTTTATCGGAGATAAAAACAGGGGGCATGGGTGGTAACTCCCAGCACCCAGTCCAGGGTGAGGAGGTGCTATGTAAACACGCCTATCTTATTTCTGAAAGGGTGACGGCCCAAGCATATTTTGGGATGATATCTCTCTTTCCAAGCAAGCAAATTCTCAGCTTAATGTATCAGGGCCTGGAATTTTCTCCCTAAGGCTCTCTGCACAAAATGTGAAATCAAAGAGAGAAAGAAATGAAAGGCAAAAGTTACCTTAGGATTGATGAAGATCCTGATGGTGAAAGAGAAACAGCACATTAGTTATTCCAGACCCTGCTTCTAACAAAACTCAGTTTCCTAAGGGAGCTTCTGAAGCAGAAGCAGAACACAACTATTTTCCTTGGAAAAGGAGCCCACTGGGGTATGTCTCCTTTGTGCAATGCTGACAGAGGACTTGAGAGCCTGCTCTCCTTCTCAACACACCTGTTGGAGGGAGGGGAGAAGAGGGGCCAGAGCAGGCACCTTCCCACTCTTTCCTGCAGGGGAGCCATCACAGTGTGGGGTGAACTATCAGGTTGGCGACCAGAAGTCTCCCGTTTTCTTCCTTGAGTGGTGTTTGGCTCCCCGGCAGTCTTTGTCTTTGCTGTACTTCGACACACTCCTTTACTCTGAAATCTGTCAAAATGAATATTAAGTAAAAAAATCATTTCTATATGGCACAGGACCAATCTCTTTCTCTCTTTTTGTCTCTGCCTTGCTCTCTTTTCCTTTCACTCACTGCAGGTGCTGAGAGAAATTTCAGGAATTGCCAGTTCTTGCTTTCTCCCCTCCCCCATCTTGCTCCCTTCCTGACACTTCTCCCATCACCCGATTACACAATTCCTTGTGCCTGTGGCAATTTTCCCCTGAGCGAGTATGTTCATTCTGTAACCCAATTAGTTCCAGATTCCCTCTCTCACTTTTATTTTTCCTATTTACACTAGAAAAAGCTATTTGAGTGTCTTTCTGGTTAGTTGAAAGACAGAGGATTCTGGGCTCCTAAACTTTCATTTCTGTATCTCTGAATGTTTGATGAAGGCAATGCAATTAGAGAATCCCAGCCCCCCCCCCAACCTGGAGGAACTTGAATAATTTTAAATCCTCCTCAGTACCTGGTAATCAAAGCAAAGGGACAACCACATTGTACAGCATTGTAGGGAAGGGCATTACAGCCAAGGTGCTCTGTGTGTCTGGCAAGATGCCATGCTGAGAACAGGAGTAAATAAATATGCCCAGGAAGTCAAGTCTTCCAGTCTTGTTGGGTGAAGTGGCCCCTCTGTGGAAAGGAAGACACCTATGAAGGCCTGCTTTGTACTTTGCTCCCACCCTCCTGTCCCCAGATGCTGTGTGTTGTGTGTGTGTGTGTGTGTGTGTGTGTGTGTCAGTCATCTGGGAGGCTGTGGGCTAGGAGGTCACCCACAGGTGGGAACACACTTAGACGCCGTGGATCCTCCTAGACCTAGAAGTGAAGAAACCTGTACAGAGGCTCCCTCCTTCCCCCTCACCTCCGTAGACATCTTTAGCTAGATTCCCTGATATAATCAGATTCCATGGAGACAGTCACTCAGGCACCTGTTTTCCAGGTGATCATTTTTTGAAGAAGCCCTTTTGTTTTCAGCCTCAACTCAAAGACATCTTCTCAGGGCTGCATCTGTCAGCCATCCTAGCCAACAGCGGGAGAAAGCCAGGAAGCCTGAGGAAGGAGAGTGGGTGGGCCTGAGATCACTAGGTATCCTCTCTAAATGAGCACCTTCTGCAGGGCTGTGGGCCCAGCTAGACTCTAGGACAATCAATACCTTTAGTAGGTGAGGGTGGGAGCAGAACTAGAAGCAAGGGAATGGGGACACTAGGGCTCTGACCCAGAGTTAGGGGCAGGCTAATGCTCCCTGTTGAAGACCTGGAGCCCAGGAGCCTCTTCCCAAGGTTGGCCAGGGACCCTCAGGCCGCCTCACCCAGGGACAGTGCCAGTTGTCCCCCTTCCCCAGACAGAGCATCCAGCTTGGTCCAGAATGATCAGGAAGTAAAGTGCGAGCCTGGGCCAGAGGGGGGAGCCAAGACACCCCTAATAAGCCAAAAGCCTCTGGGGAGTTCTGTTCCAGGTCCAGAGCCTGGCGCGTAGGGGGATCCCCACAAGGGGGCGGAGGAAAACCCAGGAGGCCCTTGGGAGGCGAGACCAGTGGCTGGGCACTCGCAACCAAGGGCGCTCGCGGCGCCCGCTCTCTGGGCAGAGGGTGGGGAGGAAGCCGACGAGGCCCTGGGTTTCTCCGAAAGTTTCGGGTGAATCCATCTTCCTGGAGGTCTGCCTTTCGGCGGCGTGTGTTTCCCGAGAGGGGGCCTCCTGCGCCGCCCCCCTCCCCCTGGCACTAAACGATTGAAGACTTGCGCACGGGGCTTCCTCCCCAGCTCAGTCTCCTCCCCACGCGCCCCCTCTGCGCGGTGCTGGCCAGCGTTGGGCTACGTCCCCGTACTGCCCCCCACCCGCGCACGAGCCGCTGCTCGCTGCAGGCTGCGGGGAACTGCGCCCTCCGTGCTCCCGCCTCGCCCCGTGCTTCCAGCGCTCGGACCATGGAGTAGGCGGGCGACCCCGCGACGCGCTCCTGCAGCCGGCGAGGCCGAGCCAGCCCGGGTAGCCTCGCCAGCCGGCGGAGTTGGCCAGCGGCGGGCCCTCCTCCCGCCGGTCCGTCCCTGCTCCTCCTTCTCCTCCTCCTCGGCCGCCGCCGCCCCCGCCTCCCGGCCGCCCCCACCGCCCCCGCCGCGCCGCCGCCCGAGGCCAAGCGCGGACGCCGAGCGTGGGAGCCATGGCGCGCGAAGAGGAGAGGGACCCTGAGCGCCGGGAGGTGGCGGCGCGGGCCCGAGGCGAGGAGGAGGAGGAGGAGGGAGAGGAGGGACTGAGCGATAGCGACGACGAGGACCAAAACGAGAAGACCGGCAGCGGCGAGGAAGAGGAAAAAGAGGCGGCGGCGGCCGAGCGGGAGCGCAGCGAGGACGCGCGGCTGCAGAGCACAGGACTGCTTCCCGCCGCGTTACCCGCCGCGGCCGCCCGCGACCGGAGCGGCCGCCGTTCGCCGGGGCCCCCTCCGGGGCCGCTGCCCTGCCTCCCGAGGATGCCGTCGCCCGAGGAGGAGGATCGCGAGCGTCGCCGGAGTCGCCGGAGGGACCTTCTGCTGAGCCAGCTCTGCTTCCTGGCCTTGGTGGCGCTGCTGGTCTGGTCGCTGTCGAACATGCAAGAGCATAATGGTGAGTGCTCGCTGCCTGCCCCGAGTGGGCGCTGCGGCTCCGGCAACTCGGGGCTCCCAGGGCTGGGCACGGGGAGAGCAGGCTGGGCCGGCAGGCGGAGGTGCCGGGCACGAGGACTCCCACTGCCCCTCGGAGGGGCTCGGGCAGAGGGAGGGGGCCTGAAGGCGAGGACCGCGCAGGGAGAAGTGGCTAGCATGCTGTGGTGCCTGGCTAGCCCTGGGAACCCTTACGTGTGCTTCTTGGCTTGGCCCTTCTTACAAGCTGGAGGGACTGGTGGTGGTGGTGGGGACTGTTACCCTAAGCGAGTTCCCCAAGGCCAGTAATAAAGTTGTCTTGGTGAGATTCGGTACCTGTGCAGGTAACCACCTGTATTCTTTGGCTTGAGGGCAGAAGGTTGACTAGTGAACACAGAGTTCTCCAGCGTTCTCCATATAGAACAGGGGGATGAACCAGGTAGAAAGCTCCATACCCGCCTTTCCAGAACAGGTGCTAGGAACTTAGGATAGGAAAAAAGTGTTGGCCACCTGGCTAGGGTTTAGGAATGGACTTGTTCTCTCAAACTGACCAGTCACTGGGAAGACTGACCCCTTTTGTAGACTTGCAGTTCTGGAAAAAATGCTTTGGACTGGATTGCCCATCACTCTACACTCTGCTCTCCTGGTGCCCTGCGGTGGGTCCACCTGCTAACCCACAACTTTTGTTTGATCTCTGTCCTTGGCCTTTCTTGAGCTTTCTTGTGGAGAAATGTGCTCAGAACAGTTGTCCACTGAAAGCAATTTGGACCCTGGGGTGCAGCTGTCTAAAAAACAGAGGAAAAACTTGGAAGAATAACTGTTGTAAAATGGATTTATATCCTGGCCATTCAAGTGGCACAGTTCCTGGGAAAATAGCCATATAAATGATTGTGAGAAAAAGCAGTTACAAATATGTGCTTTGGTGTTAAGAAAGACGAAAGACGTGGCTCTAGTACAAGGTGTTATGAAGTGCAGAATAAAGACATTTTGATACTGATGGTAAAATATTTTTAAAGGTGCCATCAATTAAAAAAGGGATCTCCCCCAAATTGGTCTCGTGCTTCATGGGGAAAGCAGATGGTCCATCTTGGTTCAGGCCTTAGCAGACCTCTTGACAGACTTGATCATATATGGTAATATGAGAGTCTGTTCTGGTCTTCAGTGGAGCTGTTAAGACTCCACGGCTCTCACCATTGCTCCTGAATCCCAGATTGGCTGGCGATGGGGACAGACATCAAGAAGGAGGCTGTTCCCTGGGTGAGGGAAGCTGAACCTCTCTCTGAAGGCAGAGTCAAACCTGCCAGTTCTACCAAGGGGGTTTTCATTAACCCGCTTTAAATCTCAAGTTTCTATGAGTGAGCCAGTTTGTACTTCAAGCCACCTTTGGAAAGGGCCACTCCAAGTCAATTACATGCCAGCCATTTTTCTTGCATGTTGGGGCCCTATGAGTCATAGAGTTCCCACCACTTTCCAGAATATAAAAGACATGTTTCTGGATAGAGAATGTGACCCATACAATTAAGTTCATCAGTGGCAGGGGGCTGCCTAGGCCCGCCGGAAAGCTGGGATGTGAGATACTCTGCAAACTGGAAACCTGGTGACTAGAATGCCATTTTGAAATGGTTTCCCTAGCAGTGACATTTGTATTCAGGTGCCACTGACTCAGATTTAGCTCCACAGCACAGCCCTTTCTCCCATACTTTCCCTTGATGTCTTTTCTTCCTATTATTCATATTCTTTTTCTTCCACCCACCCACTCCCATAAATGTAGGACTTAAGAAGATCCCCACCCCAGCAACTGAAGATAACAGTAAAAGCCAGGTATAAGGGGATGCCGTCCAACTTCTGTTTATTTCCTCCAAATGACATGCTAGTACTAATTCTGTGTCGAATCACTGTTTGTTCTACTAGATATTGATAATTTCATTATGTGATGCACAGTAATATTTCGCAGCAAGGCACAGGTTTTTTGAGAAAATTTAAAAGATATTAGTGTGTGTGAATCTGCAAATGATATTTTTGCTTGGTTGGGGAGGGGGTTGTCATTTAGCATCCTTATGCATTTGAACTGTGACTCTTACCCTGGAAACTTGGGGCTACTCAAGGTCCTTTCAGTATGGATAAAAAGTTTGGAATTTAGTCTTGTTTTTAAAGATGCTGTGACTTAGGGAGGCTGAGTGATTTGCTTAAGGTCACATAGCAATTGAGGAATAGAGGAAGAAACCAACTTGAGGTTGCCTGGCTCTTTGATCCCGCCTCTGTTCCCTGGTATTCATGCCACCATCTGGGTGCAGCTTTGTAATATTTATATAACCACATATGGAGTACCTTCATAATGATCAAAAGTAATATTTTTATTCTTCTTGAAAGAAATGCGGTGATTAAGCATAACTTCTCAGAAACCTCTCTTCTAACACATATTGATTTTTCTTTTATTTTTAAATTAAGAGGACAGGTTTTTTTTCCCCAAACCAAAATAAAGGTGTTTGGCAGTTATATTGCATAATGTTGTTTAATATTTCTAGTTATATGGAATCTGAGATCCCTTTCTTGACATCTAACGAAACTCAGTATAGATTCTTTTCTGCTGAGATGGAACAGGAGTACTGATAAATTTAGGTCAGGAAGGGTTAGCTCTAGAATCAAGAAAAATGTTAATTCTCACAACAAAAGTAATAATAATAACTGGAACTTGGTGGGCTCTTAAGTGTCAGGCACTGTGCTAAGTACACTTTATAGGTATTGCCTTATTTTATCTGCAGATACTCTTTACAGATGTTTGAGCCTTCAACGGCAGAAAAGGAAAGAGCCTTGGGTGACCTATTTAGTAGTTGCCAATGAAGAGCTTATTTTTGATCTCTGTTTTCAAAGCCAATTGAAAATAAGTTGTCAGATTTGCTAATGAGGATATTCTTTTAATTTTCGAAGTGAGGATTACTTTTGTATGTTTTGAGTGGTTTAATTTTTCTTTGAAGTAAGGAACCTGGCCATCTTTTTCCAGAAATGGTGTGCATAAAGCCCAGGGGTTCTAATTCAGGTTCTAATTCAGGAGTAACCATCCTCTCTGGAAGGTTCCTAGGGAGGTGAATAGTGAATAAGAAAAATTATACATACATACATACATACATATATATGTGCTTTTACACACACGCACACGCACACACACACACGCACACGCACACTTACTTTGAGATACTTTCTGTCCCAGTTATTATTGCTGCACAATAAAAGGTAGTGGTATAAAACAATTATTTTTTTGTTCATGGATACTTTGGGCTTGGAATTTGGGCAAAGCGTAGTGGGGTATGGCTTGTCTCTGCTCCATTATGTCTGGCATCTCAGCTGGCGAGATTGAAAGGCTAGGTGACTTGATAGCTGGGTCTGCAATCATCTGGCGATACTATCACTCCCATGTCTGGGATTGATGCCAGCTGTTGGCTGGACCCTCAGCCAGGCTGTCAACCAAAACACCTACATGTGGCCTGTCCACATGTCTTGGTTTGAACTCCCTCAGATCATGGCAGCTGGGTTACAAGAAAACAAGGTGGAAGTACATGACATTTTTATGTCTTAGCCTCCGAAGTTACATGGAATCACTTTCAATATTTTCTGTTGGTCAAGGCAGTGAGAGATGTCAGCCCAAGTTCAAGGAGAGGGAACAAGATTTCTCCATTTACTAGAGGAGTGTCAGAGTGTGTTGTAAGAAGAGCACGTGCAATGGCAGATATTGTTGTGGCTCTCTGTGGAAAACCAGGGATTCAAAGGGGTAATAACTTAGGAGTGATTATAAACATTTCCCAAGGTGGTAAATGGAATGTATATGTTGCATATATAATATATAATATATATGGATATATTATATATTTATGTATACATGTGTGTGGTATGTGTGTGTAATTTTTGAAATATCTTCCAATCATGAAAACATTGCTACTCATCTTAACTGGTGTAGGGTCCAGAGGTGGTATTTGAAAAGAGGCCTGTAGTGAAGATTTGAATTGCAAATGTCAATTGCAGATCTGAACGTCCATCTTTAGCTTTGTGGTTTCCTAGTCTCAGAGGACCATGACCAAGACCTTTCGATCCCTCTTCTGGCTTCCAGGGAGGCCTTGCCAGATCTCCAGCTTTATCTTCCATCCCCTTTCCATGCTTCACCAACCTGGCCTTTCGTCTGCTTTTCAAAAGAGCTATATACTTCTTCTGGCCTCAGACCTCTAGCATTTGCTGGTCCTACTGTCACCACTATAGCTGGTTAATCCTTTATCCTTCACTTTCTGTCCCAAGATCTTACTGACCAGACTAGGTCCCCCATTTTGCTGTCTGAGCAGACTTCATTTTCCCTTCATGGCATTTATCACAGTTGGCAATTATGTATTTCTTTGGTTATGATTTGAGTAAGATCTCCTCTTCATCAGATTATAAGCTCCAGGAGATCAGGGAACCTGTGAATCATGTTCACCTTTGTGACCTCTGCTACCTAGCCCATAGTAGATGCTCAAAAAATATTTGTTAAATAAAGAAATACTTTTGATTTCCAAACTACAGAGCTTGTGATAAAAACTAACTGCTGTGTGTTAGGAGCCCAGTGGCTGGCACACACTTTGTTTTCATGATTTATAACTCTGCACCCAATCCGGCAAATTCGATGTTACTCATTTTTTCATGGGCTAACACTGTGGTGCAGACAGGTGAGTGCCTTGCCCAGTGCCACTTGATGAAGTGGCAGGATTTGAACCCAAGGCTGCCTGCATCAGAGCTGCATGCTGCTGTCCTCCCTCGCCTGGGCTGAGGAGGACATGTATAGAATACGGGAATCACACTGCCTTTTTCAGTCAACTGGGGAGTAAAGGAGTAACAGAAGGCTGCTTTCATAGAAGTAGTGTTTTAGAAACACATTGCTTTCCAACCTCTTCTATTTTCTGCCTAAATATATATAGATGTGTCTCTTTCTTCCTGGCTTTTCTTAGCTGCTCATCAACCCAGATT